CATTTTTATGTGCAGAATCTATAATTGAGAATGTAAAAGGGCTAATATTATTGAAAGTTGATGGGAACTTGCATGATTACACTTCTATTCTTCTTCCAAAATAGGATAATGAGGGGGGGGGGTGTCAAATCCAGTCTTAAAATCTGATTGAAATAGATCTAGAAATTTAATCTCATTGCTTAGAGTGCTTGGAGTTGCATGGCAACCACATGACAGAGCATTTGGTCCTGAGAGAGAGAGAGAGAATTAGCTAAACACTGACAGTAATTAAGAACTCTGGGTCTCTATTAGGTTTCTTCAGGAGTGCTCACACCAGGGCAGCTCCCTCCCACAAGGAGACATTTACCAGGTGCATGACTGAGCTGGAAGGGAAGGGCCATGGAGGAAAACAGAAGCCCTGAATTGCTATTGGTATGGAGTTTTCAGGTCTGTGATGAGTTCCCTGGAACATCCATTCTCAAAATAAAATAAAAAACAGGCAATTATGTAGGACAGGAATATAGAAGCCCTTGAGGTGCCTCTAGACAAAGCTTCTGTTGTGCAATCCCTGCCTTCAAGGGTGTTGACAGACACTGAAAAGATTCTTGGCCCAGCTCACAGGGCACTAATTTGCATAAACAGTACTTATGTAAATATATATCTATGAATGCCAATTCAGAAGTCATTACTAGGATTTATTTAAATTTCATAGATGGCAAAGCTAGCCAATTGATTTCCTGCCCAAATAACTCCAAATAAAATATTTTAATTATTTTCCCCTCTACTCTCAGATCCTCCTAAATCAGTAGCTTTTCTTCAGTTACAATTTTCAGTGAACATGTGTTAAAAAAAACAAAACAAAACAAAAATTTTTTTTCATGAGCCCCTTCAAGCAACCTCCCCAATGAAATTAAGCTTAGAAAAAGAAGCTTCCATTGGCACACATGAAAGGGTATTTCTAACTTAAATTGCCATGTGGGGGAGATTTTGAATGCACATAGGGAGGGAATGATTAACCATTCCTTTCTCAACTGGGATTCCCCCTTGAAAATTTCCCCTTGCATAGCAGTGAAACTCAGGGGAGGGGGGAACCTTCTGTTGGTGCCAGTAAACTCTCAAGGCTCTAGCTAAAAGATCTGAGGCCTTGGTGAATAGACCTTGGCTGGGAGGGGAGTCCATGTCTAGCTACTCTGGGGTTGGCCTCATTCACAGAATGTTACCAGGAATTGAGATGTTGTCATCTTCTGCTTGCAACTCCACCCATGTTCTCACCCCACTTCTGTCTTTTTTTTTTTTTTGGTCTCCATTGGAAAGTTGTGCAATGTCTTTTAGTAGGATTTCTCTACCTGGACTCTTAAGAGGGCGGCGGCGGCGGCAGGGGGGGGATCCTAACTACATCCTTGCATTCTGAATGGGCTGATCATATTTATTCATTCATATTATTCATATTCTGGCTTTCATCTATAAAAGTACTCAACATAGCTCACCAGAAGAAATTTAAAACAACGAAGACAACAATAAACATAAATCAAGGCACAGTAAAACATTGCAACACACAGTAAAACATTACAACACAAACAGTAATCAGGCATAACCTGCCAACCAAAAGCAGTAAAAAAAATCAGCTAATAATCTGTTTGTGCAGTTACAAGGGAAACACATTTAGGGCACACTCCTTAGTGTATATTTACACAGGAAAAAGAAGTCCTAGAACTCCTAGTGTTTTCCAGCTAGCCTTTCTAACTGTGGCTTTTACGACTTTTTTCTTTTAAAGTGCTTAGGATTGCAATCTTGCAATATTACTAGTGCACTGTGATAGTGAGAAATAGCTTTGGCATTATTAAGGAACAAATATGAAAATATTCTTAACATTGGATGCAAGTGCTAGGAATCTGAATATTTAACTTTATTGAAGGGCTGGCCTGTCATAACATAGTGCACTTTGGGAGATGAAATATTCATGAACATGTTGGAATAGGTGCAGTGCAGAAGAAAACAGAATATTACTATTTGGCTGTGAATGCAACCTTGTAAATGCTAGGTAAAGTAATAACTCTCTTGGGCAGGCAAGGGTTTGGGAAAGCCTGGTCAATGCCACCTGTAAGCATCAGAAGTGTCTGACTGGTGTTACCTAGCTACACCACCTTCTGTGGTTGTTCCTAGTCTATAGCATTCCCTCCTCCTGTGAGTTGTATATTCACACAAGACTGACATTACTCCTTGAAAACAGGTTTGGTTCTTCCTTGCCCTGCTACTGCTATTTGGCTCAAAGCAACACTTCATTTCCCTGAGTTACAGTTGAAATTGATGTTATGATCCTGATTTTTGCTGACAAATAACATACTGATCTAAACTAAACAGCTGGTTCTTTGGCTGTTGACTTCTAGTAATGAAATGAATCTGGCTCTCGGACAAACAGCCTGGCTTTACGATATCTTTTTCCAATTTGATCCATTGTGCATACCATGTTCAGTAAATAGAAAATACATAAAATATATTATGATGATGGTCGATCATCTTTCTTATGAAAAACAGCTTAAATGTGGCGCGTGTGTGGGGATTCTTTCAGAAGCATTCTTAGGTGTAGAAAGCCAGTGTGGGGTAGTGGACAACAGCACAGGACTGGGGCTCAGGCAAGCTGATTTCTAGTCCCTGTTTGACCATGGAGACAACTGGGTGATTTTGGGCTAGTCACAGACTCTCAGCTCAGCCTGCTTCACAGGGTGGTTGTTGTTGTGGGGATAAGACTAAGAGCTGGAGGAGGAGACTGATGTAAGCCACTTTGAATTCATAAGAAGAAAGTGTGATATAAATGTAATAAATAAATAGGTCTGGATCTAAGGAGCCCCACTTTGGTTTCTCTTCACTTTCCCCCTCAGAATCACTCTTCACATGGCAATGAATGTTGGGGGAAGAAAACCTATCACTGATTCCAACAAATTTTTCCTCCTAAATTTAATTTTGTGCAAATTGCAGCGGGTTGCAGTAGCTAGAGAGGACTAACAATGGCAACAAAGGGCTTTATTCTGGGCCATGAGAGTGAGAAATAAATAGAAATGAAAGTAACAGAGTGTCCAGTTACGAATCCCAAAATAAGAGGACAAAAGACAGTGCATATCTGCACAAATGTGCCTATAATAAATCATATGCTTATTTAATCAGAAGTAAACCCCACTAACTTGCACTTTCCCATAAGAAAGCTATGTATACAATACAGTGAGACTTACATCTGAGTAAATAAACATGCATAGGATTGTATTGCAACCTGTTTCTTTATGGCATAAGCTTTGCGTGGACCAGAACCCAGAATGTATGAAGTAAATAGCTTCCTAGAGGGTAGTTATGCCTATCTTTAATATACAGATAAGATTTTTACAAAACGAGGGCAAATGATGAAGCAAGGCAAAGATAGCTCTAGGTGTGCAGATAATGACTATGTGTATTTTGGTTGATGAATTTTGAGTCCGCAGGCCTTATATCTAGATGTTGCATTGATTAGACATATTATTAGTATAAGATGCATCATCTTATTTTTATTTATTTATATTCTGCTTTTCCCTTACAACAAACTCAAACTTGCATCATTCTCCTCCTGCTGCTCTCAATCATATCCCCACAAGCACCACCCTGTGAGGTAGGCTTGGTTAAGAGTCCGTGACTGGCCCAAGGTCACCCAGTTGGCTTCATGGCTGAGCGGGGACTAATTTTAGACGGCCAGTCCAGAGAGCCAGTGTGGCGTAGTGGTTAAGAGCATGGGACTGGGACTCAGGCGATTCGGGTTCGAGTCCCCGCTCAGCCATGGAGCCAACTGGGTGACTTTGGGCCAGTCACAGACTCTCAGCCCAACCTACCTCACAGGGTTGTTGTTGTGGGGATAAGATGGAGGAGGAGAGATGATGTAAGCTGCCTTGAGCCCTTTGTAGGAAAAAGGCAGGATATAAATCACAATATAAATAAATAAAAAATAAAAAAAATATGTGAGACTCTTCCCTTTCGCATCCTGCCTATCACTCCGTTCGGAGAGGAAGCAACCTCATTTAGTGAGCTGTATAGAAACTTTGCCCGCAAAGTCTGCGCATTTCCTGCGACTGAGCGAAACGTAACGCAGCAGGAATCAGCGCGACTCGCGTGCTCCAGCACCACGCAGCTTCCCGGATGCCTTTGGCGAAGGCACAAAGCCATTTTCCTACGTGCACATTTTTCCTACCCCCCCCAGGACCGGGCTAACAATGAATGCCAAAGTCAGGATTTTAGCGCAGCTGTGGTTGGAATTCATCGAGTCCACCCAGAAATAAGAATAGCAGGAAAGACAGGCCTCACAGTTCTTTCTAACTCAAGTCTGGAAGAATTGTGAGTTTCCAAAGCTGTAAAAGTTTGTCTCGGCTGCGTGCAGTGGAGGGTAAATGTTGTGTAAGTGAAATGCAGCGCGAAATTTAGCCTGAAATGGGCCTGGGGTCGGAGTGGAAGCTTTCACCTCCTTTGCAAATCTTTTACACCAGCCTAAGTCCCACCCTACCTTCTGTTACCATTGTGCTCCATCACAGGAAAAGTAAGACTTTTGTAACATCTTGAGAATTAACGCATTCATTATACGACCTATGCATTCGGGGATCCTCAGACAACATTTATGAGATAGATGGGCTGAATTTGTATTGGGACGGCTGTGGGGAGAGCAGTGTTCAAAATGTTTTGCACAAAAGCAACGTGAGTCAGAAGGAGCAGGGCATTCCAGTGTTTCTTGTCGCACTGTTGCTATATGTGAAAACCCGCTGATTGCAATTCATAGCTCAGCGAAAATGTTGGACGTCTCTATTAATCTCAATGGGGAACTCTTCCGCTCGAGGGGGACATTGAAAAAATGGCTTCTCCGCTGTGATCCCGGAAATCGCCTATGCAAAGCCTACTTCAACTCTAACGCTAGCGCTTGGTCTATCTTTAGCACGTGACCTGCCAAGGATCTAGCCGCGGCTGCGCCACCCCCGGTCGGCACTGAGTGGCAGTTAGGTGCGCGTGCGCAGAAGAGGCCGTTTCTGCCGTCGCTTGACTGAGGTTGTCGAGCGAGCGTCTCTATATGGGGAAGAGAAGATGGCTCCTTTCCCTGAGGAGGTGGATGTTTTCACGGCCCCGCACTGGCGGATGAAGCAACTCGTTGGGCTCTATTGCGACAAGGTATGGAGGGGAGTCTTGGGGCTGCAGGCGAGACACGGAGAACCCACTGTGTTTACCTTAATCGCGAGACACACCCCCACCCCTCACCCTCCGGCCTCTGTTGGGGTTTGTGCGTGACTGAGTGCGCGTGCGCGCGCCTTGGGGAAAGGGGTGAGATTAACGACTGCGCAGCTGTTACTGCTCGCGCGAGCTATGACGCCCCTCGCCGCCCCCCTTCCCGCACGATCGGCAGCGACCCTTCTCATCCTTCCTCCTGTCCGCTCTCCTGCTTGTGATGAGCTTCCCAAACGTAAACGCGTCTCCAGGATCCGAACGCCTCCCTGTGTAGGGAGTCGCGGCCACGCTTCCTTCGGTAATAGCACCTATTACACGACGCTCCCTCCACTTCAGATTGCTCAGAAGTCACGCCTCCCACCAAGACTCTGAAACGCACTTTAAATAATATAAGTGCATTTACGCATATTCTTCACTGGTCGCCTTTTGGATATTTTTTTGATACACGTTAGATCGGGGGTGGGCAATTCGTGGACTGTTGTGTTAGACTACAGTTCTCACTGCCCTTCACTTTTTGACTATGTTGCCTGGGGTTGATATAGGTCAAACCATCTGGAGGACCATAGATTGCCCACCCTTGTCTTAGCCCTTATTTCCTAATGAGACTAAGCCTGTGTCTGTGCAACTGAAATTACGAAATTGAAGATCTGCTTCCCTCTCTGCAGTATCAAATTTTGGATCATAAACTTCTTGAGGCAGCAGTCTGGCATCTTGATTTTTCACTTAGTAAAAAGTAATAAGAAAGGAGGTTAGGCATCAAAGCAGAAATACAAAGGGAGGAGACATCAAAGGTGTACAGTATTTATTGTTCAACCTGTTTTTTAACTCTTGGTGTGGCTGATTATTTGGCAATTATTTGAAAGAACTGGCATCACTCCAAGACATGAATTCCAATCCTTGAAATGCATTCAGCATCAAATTGTCTTATGGGCATCTTTGAGGCAACCTTCCTTTTCATTACGCTGTGTTAATGGCATGTACACTCTCCCATATATACACACACAGTGTACACTTATTTAATAATGAGTCAGTGTCCTATATAAGAAGGCTACAACTTGTTGACAATAAACTGAGCGCTTGCAGTTCTGCTGGTGTAATAGAAGAGTAGTAGAGAGACTCTTAAGTCATATATGTGTTTACTTAGAATCAAGGGTTCAATTTTTGCATTTCTCATATGATTGCAGAGAATTTCAGTCATTGCAGAAGCTTGATACAAAAGTTAACCAGTTGTGTTTTTCAGACAATAGTTGTATCTGTGCAGAAGTTGCAAGTCACTTCCAACTTAGATGAGTTCCAATTATTGTGGACATTTCCTTTGAATAAAGAACAGCCTCGTGGTCAGCTTTGTCTTTACAAACACCTGGGCTGAAAGCAGTAAGCTCCCCCACTCCCAAAAAAAAAAAAAAAAAAACAGTTGTCAATGTCTCCAGCTCAAGTGGGATGACCAAATAATTAAAAAACAAGTTCTGGGTTCTGTGAGTTGCCTGTTTCCAGTCTAGACATATGCAACCTTAATTTTCTGCCTTCAGAAGATTGCACCTAGTCAGGCTTGTTCAAACTTGATTGTTTGCTAGAACTTAGATTGGGGCACATCAACTGAATGTGTCTAAAAGAATGAGACCTGCCTGAAGATAAAATTCTGTGAGGTTGTTTTGTATTTGAATTGGATATTTAAAATGCCATGTGTGATGTCTGTGAAAATCTAGTGCTTACTATCTAGTGCTCTCACTGTCTGAACTAGGAAGACCCACAGTATGTATTTATAAAAGCTTTGTACAGCTTAGGGTGCAGTCCTTTTTAGGCTTATGCCCCTAAAGTTTCCAAAGTCTCACCATCCTCATGCCCTGAATGTTTCATTGGGGGAAGGGGATTGCCTGTCTAATTTCAGAGCAAGGGGAAAGGATGCTGGGGAGGACCCACACAGTATAGTCAAACCTCAACTTTCTTGGGTTTAACATTTGCAGATTTGATTATTCATGCGTTTGCCATCAGTAATTAAATGGGAATTTAGTTTTGTAGCCTCATTTTATCTATAAGTCATGTTATACGTCAATATGCCAAAATTTACAGATATTTTTCTGTAACATACTTCCTGGTCACTTGTTCCACAGGTTGTTACTGTATATATCAGCATATAAGATGACCTTTGAAACCTGGGTGATTTGATTTAGAACAAATCGATTTAAATCACAATTTAAATCATGTTTTGAATCACTAGTCAGTAAGACTAGAATTAAATCATGATTTTCTACATAATTTCTAATCATGCTTGTCTTGCCTGTAGGTAGAGGAACATCATTAAAATATTCCCAACCTAAGTCTCTCTTGCAGCCTGCTGCCATTATAGGTTTTCTTCCTTAGGGAAATAATAATATGATAAACCTCAGGCTATACATAAAAAGATCCAAAGACTTGTGGAGTATTGTGCTCAAAAGGTTCACTTTCATCTTTCTGTTTGACCATCCCACTTCACACTTAGCTCCTTGTGCAGCTCTATTCCACTCCCAAAAATCTTTTGTTCATTAATTTTTTGACACTTAGCACTTAAGAGGTAAGGGGCTCATTCTGTATACATAGATTTGCAATGAACAATGGGATTAAGGTCTATTTCTCAACTCTGTTTATTTTATGACATTTCCACTGTGAACAGGTGTGTGATCTCTGCAGATGCAAAGTCACAGTTTTGAGAACTGTAAAACCAGACATCTGTGATATTATCTTCTAAATAGAAAACTTGCCCAATAATCTTACAGAAACCTCTGGAAGAGCATGACATGGTAAATGGATTAATGGCATTCATTTAGCCCCAAAATTTAAATGTTGCACAAATATTCAGTTTCATGCTATATAATTAAAAACTAATCCTTATATCATGATGAATGTATCTTAAATAGAAACTATCTTTAGGTAGATTTTTCCTCAAAGAGCATTTTATTTTTTAAAAAATTCAATTTAAATTAAAAATTGATTTTTATCTTCCCTGCTTGAAACCAAATATAGCAAAGGAAAAATTGAGGGTCATTTTACATGCTGGTATATACAGCAATAATGTGTTGAACAAGCAACCAGGAAGTTTGTTTCAGAAAAATACCTGTATATATTGGCATATAGGACAAACACATACTAGAAAAATAGCCCAAAATACTGACTTCATTTTAATATGCAAGTTGCCTTATGTGCTGCTATGTAATGGTGTATCAAGAAAAAAGAAAGGGAAATTTGTGAAGTTGATGCTTCAACTCCACCAGTGGGTGTGCAGAAAGAGAGTGCAGACAGAAGGGGGAAGGGAGAAGCAATCCAGTACACATATGGTTAGCAGTATAAAGAGTCAGGTTTGGGGGAGGGGAGTGATCTTTGCGGTTTTTCCACTTTCCTGGGGGTTCTGCTCCTCTAACCCCCATGAATGTGGAGGGCCAACTGTATAAAACTAATATAGAAACAGTGAAAGTACAACAAAAATAAGCGCATAAAATATTACAATGTGCTGATCACAAAATTGTGCATGGCACAATCCATTTAAGACAGGGAAAGCTTGGATTAAAAATATGTCATCCAAAGACATATATAGTTTTGACACACTTTCTGTTTCTTAAATAATGCATGAGAGCATATTCAGTGGCTGAGTGCCACCATAAGAAATGCTGTGTACTCGGTAACATCCTAATGATCGCGGAATCAAGAATCAATAACAGTATCAATCTGGGACATCCTTCAAGTCTCAGCCTTCAGGCTTCATCTCTGCCCCCCACTCCAACCTGCAATAACCCATAACTATAGTTTGAGTTAAGTGGTTCTTTTACATCAAGGCAGCAGTAAGAAACAACAAATGTTTATACTTTTTTAGTTTAACTATTCAGCAAAGAATGCCTGCTTTATTTACCCTAGAAGTATTATTTTTTAGTAGGAAAAGCTTGATCGTTTTCAGTGGATGCTCTGAATTGCCAGAATAGCAAACTTTGTATAGAAAGGAAAGGCTGAGAAGGAAGTACTTTTCTTTGAACAAGTTTCATAATCTTTTCAGGCTAGGAGTCTTTCTGTGTTTTTGGAGAACCATGACATTCACACATGATCAGCTTGTTGTCACAATACAAAGGAAAAAACATTATGTAACTTTCCTTCTGCATAAGGGTCAGGAGAAAGCTAGGACTTGCCCCATAATGGTCTTTATTTGACTCACTAATGATGTTATTGGACTTTTAGTTCTAGAAAGGATAAGAAAGAAACAGGTGCACTATTATCCTGTAAAGAGCACAGAGGAGGTGAGGCACAAGTGATACTACTCATCTGTTCATTTGAGTTAATTGCTACTTTTAACAAGATGATGCTTGCACCTCTGGTATAATAAGCATAAATGTAGCTGCTGAAATATTATACCAGAGTGAGTTGTCTGTACTTACTAATTTCTTAGTATTCAATGAACAATATGAGATACCATTATGCCACATTTGATCATTGAGCACTATTGCAGGGATGATAACTTGTCAGATGTAGTGGAATAGAAATAATAGTAAGGAACCTGCTGCTTGTGTGAATGGTAAGCTATATATGTACAAACTTGCTGCGTATTCTTGCTTTATGTAAACTCCAGACAGCAGTTGTGGTGAATGCCTCTACTGTTAAACTTTCAAGCATATTTGTGACAGAAGGCCTACAATAATGATATATACAGCTGAATTTTTGTCTTAAACCCTACATTAGTTTCTTTTTTATTTTAAGCCTGGCAGTAACTGCTACTTTCAGTTTCATTTTGTACTATATTTTATTCCATTTTTCCAAATAATTTAAAATACCAGGGATCCTGAGTTTATCCTGTCAGCAGGAACTTCCTCCTCAGAGTGGAGTTCTGTTTATGAATGCCCCTGCCCTGCAGAAGAAGAGAGGTGACTTCTTTGATTTCCCCTGCAGCCTCTTGTCTCTCTGAAAAATCTGTTCTGGGGAGATGCTGG